CCAAAGTGTGTAGGTCTCAAAAACTGAACTTCACGGCTAATTGCACCTCTAACTTGTTTATAGTTGCTACTTGCCTGAGAGGTATTTAAGTAGACAGTGCTTACTGTAATTTGAGCTCCTGCTGTACCAGATGCATCTAACATCGTTATGTTATCCACGACAATCTTTTACTAATCAGTAAGTTTTCCTGAGCTGATGCTTTTTACGTGCCAGCCCATATACATAACCGAAAATTAACTTCCGAAAAGCGGGTTTGAAGATGCATTTTATCCCCCCTGCTGCTTGTTGTTTAAAGGATGTATCTGAACAGGTCACTGCTCCATCGTTTTTCAGGTTAGTAATAGCCTTTTGCAGGCTTTAATCCATTGCATCAGAGAGCATCGCCTTATTTACCTCAAGCCATGACTCAAACATGATGCCCTCGCAATTTTTCATACTTCGCCGACTCATCCGCTGCTGTATGTTTCCTGACCCGTTGCATCGGTATAGGTTTTAATTTGGGATGAATTTTATAATCATGAAGGAAATCGGTCATTTATAAAATAGATTAATACCGCACTTAGGCTCGAAACTGCATCGCAGCATGCAAATAATGCATAATTCCTTCACGTGCTTCCGCATGAAACCGATTCGGTGCTCCTCGTTGCCCAAAGGGACCATTTAAGCAAACTAGGTCTCGATGCTACTTAAGCATCTCCATCTCGTATCAATTTGTTCGCTACAGTTGCCTCGGCAAGAACTCTATGTAGCGAAACTGTGTATTTAGCAGGAGGTTAAGCAACCGATGACTTATGTCATCCATCGTTAAAATATGTGAACAATATGCCACGCCATCTCTGACGCTACATCCTCATTGCTTTCGTCTCTACTAATATCGCGATATTACCTTTCAGTGTGTATTGCCTTGCAACACTCTCTGTTCAAGTCCAAAATTGGGGTTCTTTTTGCCTCTAGACTCTTAGTAATGACTTTACAGTTGATTGTCGCTGATGCCATTGAGTCTGATAAAAGATTCATTTTGCTTTTTGCTTTGTAGTTGTGACCAGATTCGAAAACGACAAGTTTCATTGTCAGAAAAGAGTTACATTGTCCTATTGCAGTTTTTTATCGAGGCGAAAGTGACCAGCTTCTTTTATGTAAAAAAGCCGTATCTCTTGCCGCTGCGTTGGGATTGGACTCGGTTCGTCAAAAGCTAGAAGAAACAACTTCGACACAAAATCGGACGCAACTGGGGTACCCGACTGTATGAAATTCGCAACGTTGCCGTCAGCCTTGTCAACCGGTAACAATACTTCGTGCTTGACTACGATAGGAACAAATGGGCCTAAGTAACTTCGCACTTGTCGACCAGTCGCCCCCCCCCACGGCGGTTAGGTTTTCGACTGACGAGAAGCTGCAAACAACCCCAGTTGAATGGACGCCGTCTGGTAAACGACCCGAAATTTTTTCGTTGCCTTATCTACCACTGTAAATCTGGCAGAGGCAGAAACATTAAGCCAACTAATAGAGGAAAATTTACTGCTGGTCCACGACAACTTTGACCTCCGTGAGAAAGGGGATGGGTAGCTTTTGGAAAGGCGGTAGATCGATTCGGCTACAAACAACAGGGTGCGTGAATAATATAGGAGGAGTCAGATTTGTAGTCAACAGAAGCCAGCTCCCAAAACTGTCTTCTGCCAAGTGAAATCACCATGACTGGGCGCTCTGTGCCTCTGGCAGAACAAAACAAATTGCCTTCAGGAAAGTATGCACCTATACTCCAACAAATGCAGCCAATGAGTATTAAATGGAAAAATTCTATCAGAAACTGGAACATGCATTGATCGAAAAGTCGACGTATACCTTCGTCGTGGGAGAATTCAGTGCCAGGGTTGGACACAAAATGCCAGAGAAAAACTTTACGGTAGGTACATCACCAGAAAGCGAAAATCAACCAGCAGATCAGCTGATGGCCATGGCAGAAATAACCAACCTGTAAATGGAGCCAAATGACTCATGAAGAAGACCAACAGGAAGTGGACATGGATCGCCCCTAACGCGGTGATGGCAGAACGAGATCGACTTCGCCCTTCTCCATAAGCGCCTCACAATCCGAGACATAGCAGCAATGCCATCATTTAACACCGGTAATGACCATAGACTAATGCGGGTCATAAAATTGAGAGGAAGACACTGAAAACAAGTAGTCACA